CTGAGATCTAGGTGTTGGCTGGGCTGGTTTTCCATGGAGGTTCTGGAGGAAAGAATCTGTTTCCTGGCCTTTCCCAGCCTTTAGTGGCCCCCACTTTCCTCGGTGCTCGCTCCCTCCCCCGTGTTCACAGCGGGCAGTGACCGGTTCAGTCTTGGGTCTGGTTTTTCTGCCTCCCTCTTGCCCTTTCTGGGACCCTTGTGAGGACCGGGGGCGATCTGGATAATCCAGAGTAATCTGTTTATTTAAGGCCTGCTGGTTAGCAGCAACCGTCACCCACCTGCACCTTTATTGTTTCCTTGTCAGTAATGTAACCTACTTACAGGTTCCGGGCACCGGAGCAGAGTTGTGAATGCCCTTAGCATGCCTGAAGGAGAAACTATAGGAAGTAGTGATTTTACAAGCCTGAAAACCCTGTGTCCTTCCCGACCGAGAGGTGCCTTTTCAGTTTAACCTTGTGATCCTCTGAGGTATAACTTGTAGCTCTCTCTCGAGCATTCAAACCACATTTGGTAATTTATGCTACTTTTCCATATAGATGGTTTAGTGCCAAATTCAACCTTATGTCATAATTGAGTCCTAGAATATTTTTGAATTATCGCATAAGCATAGGAATATTAACAAAATAAATCTGTAGCTTTTGATCATAGATGCAAGCATTGTCTCTTAGGTTAGAGAGAAAGTGTGCCTTTATTGTAGACAGCCTGTGTTCCTGGAAAGCGGAGTGCGAACAGCGTAATCTCACCCCCAAAGGGCGCCGCTCGGGGCGGCTCGGTTTGGACGTGGATCCAGGGTGAAGCGCTGGCTGTGTGTCTTGTCACCAAAGCAGGGCGCCCTAGAGTCCTCGCTCATTCCGCGTGCACTTAGTACTGATTCTGTTCTGGTGGCAGCGGGCTGGTAGGAATTCCAGATTCGGATTTTAAAACGCTTTAATGTGCAATGCTTTGTGGCCTCACAGTTCTAGCGGACCCAAAGTCAAGGTTCTGTTGCATAAAATGATTGTCAGTGAGCAGTTCCATTGCCCTTGACACTGACTGAAGGTAAAACAGATGACCCGCGGCCGTGACGGCAGCTTGTGCCTGGGCCGACCACGTGGCCGGTTCGCAGCAGCGTCACTGTATGGTCTGTCTGGGCCTGTTCCTAGGCTTGGGTGAGACTCTCATTTTAGGGGTAGCGTCTTGGGTCTAAAAAGACTGGCCTACAGGGTTCTATTTTTAGTTATAATGGACTTCTTTGAAGAGGAGAGTTGCTTTAAAAATGGCTGTTTTTCTCATTGTTTCATTGTTGGTGATCTAATATCTAAATGCTGCATCTGTATCTGTAGTGATTTACGTTGTGTAAATTGGACTCGTGTTAGTTAGTGTCTTTTTAATGCTGATCTAAGATACTAATTATTTACTCTGTAATTTAGACCCCACGTGCTTCTGTTTTAAAGATTTTAAGAAAATATTAAATAGAGTTTGTTGAAATACATTTATGCTTAAGTCACTGAAATAATCTTTTTGAATTCTTTTCCCCATGTTTGATTAATTCTTATCTGCTCGTGACATGAAAAAATTTTAATTACATGATAGATACAGGAATATTTGCTGGTAAAAATCTCAGCATATGCAGAAATAGTTCAGGAAATAGTGCAGGTCCGTATCAGCCATCTGACTAAACGTAACAGAAAATCCAGTTACAACTGGCAGAAATGATAAGAAAACAGCCCATATAGTCAGAGACCCAGGGCCGTGCCTGTGTTTCTTGGGGAGTGTCTGAACGGGGCTTCCCCAGCTTGCGGGCTCTCCCTCAGCCGGGGACAGTGCCTGGCTGGTCGGGGCAGCACGGAGACCGAGAGCTTACGTTGATCGCTTCAGAGCAAGGTGACTGTCCCTGGCATTTCCCTTCACAGTGGAGTGTCTCCTGCGCCCGCTCCTCCGTCACCTCCCTGCCAGGGTGCCACCCGGCACTGATGCGACAAGGGGCAGAGCCGTGTTGGTGTGTGCCTGCCCCGGAACCGCCCGCGGTGCAGGGGTCACTGAGTGCCCAGCTCTCCACGTGTCTGTCCCCTGGTGAGTGGGGAGGACCGGCAGCGTGTGTGTAGACACACATACACACACACACACACACACACAGATTTGTGTTCATGGGACTGGGCTTTGAATTACTTGTTAATTATTTTGATGTCTCCCCCCTCACCAAAAAAAAAAAAAGAAGCTTAGTTGTTAAGTACTTTGAATTGACTCTTTTAACAGGCCTCTGGGGTCAGAAGAGTGAACACAGCAAGTTTCTGAACAGCGTTCTCCGAACATGGGCACATCAATCTTAAGCCTCATATTTGCTCTTAGTAGCTGTTTTCTAATAACCGAATCCTTGGTTTTTCTCTCTCGCCCATGGGATTAAAACAAAAACTCAGCCTGGAAGTTGTTGCACGTACAGCTCATGACCTTCTTTCTACTCAGTGGTCGGGCTGTTTCGGAATGCTACAGCGTACCCACTGTTACTTTAACTACCGGTCACACAAGCCGAGATCTCATTCTTTTGGGGTTTTCTGCCTAAGCCCGTTCCTGTCTTGCTGTTTCAAGCTCTGGTTCTCTGTAGCTCGTCTTCCAAGGCCTCTCTAATTTTCATGATAATATAGAGTTAAGAGCATTGTAACTAATAGTAGCTGCATATTCAGAGGAAATCATGGTGGCTTTTCTTCATTTTTGTTCAATGTAGGACTCTGATGGGCTAGAAGGATTTGGCCTTCACATTTAAATAGGGCACTGTGTCAGTTCGCCAGGGCTGTCATAACAAAACGCTACCCACGGGGTGGCTTGAACAACAGAAACTCATTTTCTCCCAGTTCTGGTGGCTGGAAGTCCACGCCCAGGGTGTCAGCAGGGTAGGTGTCTGCAGCCTCTCTCCGTGGCTTGTAGGTGGCTGCTCACTGGCTGCGTCCTCACGTGGCCGTTTCGCACCCCTGCGTCTCTGTGCTCTTCTTGTGAAGACCCAGTCAGATGGGGTCAGGTCCCCCGTGGGTCTCATTTTAACTTAATCTCCTCTTTCAAGACCTTCCTCATCTCAGATAGTTTCAATGTATGAGTTTGGCGGTGGGCGGACACAGTTCATAACAGTCACGGGGATCAAATGGTCACACGTTAAGTCCCCAGTTACTGTCAGAGGACATCCTTGTCCTTGACAGATGTGCTCATTAACCTGTAATATTAAAAAATAAAAATTTGGACACAAATTACATTTTTATTCCACAACAGAATGTAAGAAAAGTTGTTACTGTATTGTGTCCATTTATACAAGTTTTATTGTATAGTAGAATTTCCTGTGTGGGAAAGCTTTGGGGGGTGGGGTGGGACCAGGAGGCACTTCATTTGTTTACTCTGTGCCCTTACATTAACTAGGCGTTCCCGTGAGACTTCACAGCGAGACTTCTCAGCAAACCGAGGGAGAGAGGAGAAAGCTTCCATGCAGTTGCCCTAACTTCTGCATAAGAAAGAATAGTGATTTTTGTACATTAATCTTGGAACCTTTAAAAGAAGCAACAGAAGTTGGCAAAGACAAGAGATCTAACTGAAGATTTTCTTACTTGAATGATTTCTAGGATGACCACCAAATAAAGGAACATGATTAAAACAGAAGTTGTTTTTATTTTTACAAAAACTGGAGTAATAGTAACCCTTACGAGGATTTACTGGGTATCAGGCCTTGTTCGAGGTCATTTATTGGGGTTGACTCATGCAGTCCCACCTCAGCCCTGGGGGGTGGTGTCTTCCTCCTGCATTTCACAGAGGGTCGCTTGAGGGCTGGGGGTGCGGGGGTGGGGGGTGGGGGGCTGGGTGAATGGTCTCCGTAGGCTGTTCAGCTGGTGGGGGTGAAGCTGAGACGGGATCCGGGGGGTCAGGCTGCTGTGGTCACTGTGCCGCCCCCCCACCCCCGCCCTCGTCCTCGGGTGCTGGCGGCGCAGCTGCCCAGAGCGTCATTCTTCCCTCTCGGCAGTGACTTGGCGTTGTTCGGTGGTTTAGGAAGGGTTGTTTTTGTTTTTGTTTTGGAGGCTCATGACAGCAAAACAAGCAAATGTATTAATGGCCCCCATCAATTCCCCATGATTTCTGTAAGACCAACACAAAAGCAGTTTGGAAAATGGTTTTGCTCAATGTCGGAGGATCCTCTGAGTACAAGAATTTGAGTAACCTACAGTAAAAAGGTCCTCTTCTGGCTCAACCGTAACAGTGTGTCACACTCACTGTATTTTACGAGCGCTCGGTGGGCTTCTCCGTTCGGTGTGGCTGCTGTGGAGGGGCTGAGTGAACAGCCGAGTGTGTGTGGGGCATGAAGTCAGACACGGGGGGTATGTGGGGGGCGCTGACCGGTGGCTGCCAGCGTGGCCGGGTGCTCTGAACGCCTCGGCTCGCAGACCTCCCTGTGAGGCCCCCTCCCTGTGAGGCCAGCTGCAGTGTGCCTGCTGGGGACGGGCGGGGACCGAGAGAGAGAGACTGAGCGCCCGAGTTTCGCATGGTGTGTGTGCGGGGAACGTGTCCCAGACGTTTTCGCTCCTGGTGTCATTCTGATGCCTGTGGGGGTTATTTTGATGAAGAAGTTCATATGCACCTCTCCGGGTCTCCTTCTCTGCCTGGAATGTTCTGGCTGTTGTCTTGAAGCCGAAGAAGGCGGTGGCTGCAGAGCAGGCTCAGGAGTGAAACTGGGTGGGAGTGGCGGGGCTCCCCTCTCCCGAGGTCGGTGGCTTTGGGCCAGTTACTCAGCTTTTCTGACCCTCCTCCCTCTCGGGGGGAAATCAGACCCACCTCATGGAGGTGTCGTGAGGGCTAAGTCAGACCATTAATGTCAGGTGCTGGGTTTTCTAGAGATTGATTATTTAAAGATATGAGACAGTGTCGTTTTTTGATGTCATTTTACTAAATATGAAATAGTCTAAAATTGTCAGTTTAATAAATTTTAGATCCCATTCTGCCTACATTTACCTAAAAATGTCCTGACTGGATTTCTCTTTATTCCTGTTGTAGGTGCTGGAGACCAGAATTTATTCACCTCCATTTACCCAACGCTTTCCCAGCAGCTGCCGAGAGAACCGATGGAATGGAGAAGGTACGGCGTGTGTGTTTTCTGGCCGCGTCGCTCTCCTCACTTTCCAGACATCCCTGTGAGCACGGGGGGCGGGCAGACTTAAGGCCTGAGTCCTGAAGTGAGCCGTGGAGGAACTGGGCGGCATCACAGCCGTGGGCCTTCTTCCTCGAGGAGTGTGTTGGTTTTCCTGACGAGACATCGGGTAGCAGGAAGAAGACGATTCTTCTGAGTTACAGGCCCACCCTTATAGGAACGATTTCTGTCAACCCTTTAAGGGTCGTCAGAATGTCTCAGAGCCACAGGCCTTTGGGAAAGGAGGCACGCACTCACTCAGGCTGCACATCAAGCAGAAGATGGGCCTTTATCTGCGCTCTCCTGAGCAGCCCTGTCCCCCCGAGCCCCTCCCCAGGCTCTTCCTTACGGGGAGAAAGTGTGCGGAGGGACCGCCCGCCCCCCCCCCCGCCCCCGCCCCGCTCTGTGTGGTTGTTCATGAGTGACGAGTTCAAAGGGGATGGTTGACTCTGAATTATCTTGTTGGAAAACTGATTTCTGGTAAGGTATTATTTTTAGAAAGTGTTTGGCTGTTTATTTGTTAATAGGAGTAATCTGATTTTAACAGGGTGGATACATAATTTTCTGTTGTTGTTCGTGTTCACACTGTTCTCATTCTTGCTACATTGTCCCTTTCCGACTACCGGTTTGTACCCAGCGCCCAGAGGAATGGGGGAGGCTTCTGGGGATGACTCACCCAGGGCCTCCACTGAGTCTCGTCTGATTTCTGTGCCTGATTGTTGTGCTGCAGGAATGTGTTTAATGACTAGCATTCAGTATAAATAGAGTGCGGAAGGTGGGAGAATTTCGGAAAAAAAAAACAAAAAAAACCAAAAAAAACGGCTCAACCTCTGAGGAGGCCCAGTGCTGTGAATGAGAGAAAACAGCTCATTCAGCAAATGGAGGAATTTACTGTCTGAAGAAACAGAGTAATCGGAAAAGGATTTCAAATAAGAATATACTGTGTAAACATTTATAATAGAAAGATAAAAGAAAAAAGTGTATCCAAGAAGCAATAAAGGGAGTTAAGGGGGGAAAAATGAAGCAGAGGGACCACATAGATTTAATATATGTACTCGCCTTCACCTCCCTGAAACTTCACTAACGGAGCCAAAGGACTGGAGAAGCGTAAGTGCACAAGGACAGAGAAGGGGGTGGAGATGATGGCAGCAGAGGGGTCTGGACACCTCTTTGGTGGAAGGAAGAGAGATGGAGGAGTTGGGAGAGACAGCTGAGCCCCATGTGTCTGCTGCGGTGGCTCCCTGAAGAGCAGGATGTCCCCGACAGGTGACAGGGCCCACCCAGGACCTTGGAAGGCGAGGGCAAGACCAGGCTGGAAAGGGAGGTGGCAGAGGGTGTGGGCAGGGGGCAGGGCGATGCAGGGCCCCTGTCATGTGTCCGCTGAAGCAGTGGCAGTGGTCTGCCCCTGCCAGACCCTGGGGGGCTGGGCTGTCTCTCTGTGGACCGAGAAGCTCTGGACCCTTGGGCATGAGGCACTGCGGCAGGCGGGAGAAGGGCCGTCTGGAACCAGCAGGTCTGAGTCTGAGCAGGGCGCAGCTGAGACCCCAGGGACAGGACCCGCCACACTCCCTGTCTTAGAAAACATTGGGAGGAGGCCCTGCACCCGGTCTGGGACCTGGATGTGCTCCTGAGTGGGGCAGCGGGGCGGTGGGCTCTGGGGGATGTCACCAGGGAAAGGAGCTGGTAGGTGACCTGATGTCTAACTGTATGGGCGTGCTCAGAGAGTTGTCATTTCTGTCGGAGAGCTTTGGAAGGTTTCAAAATGGTGACACTGGGAGCTAAGAAAGGGAAAGTGCCAAGAAGAAGAAAAGTTAGGTTCTAAAGCTACTGTAAGAACAGGTGTCACTTGGCCTATTAGTGAATAGTGCTTCTGCTTTTAATAATGTGGGCGGCACTGTGACAGAGCTGCTGGGAATGGGGAGGGAGGGGGAGGGGGGCAGACGGACAGCTGGGTCTGCAGCTCCCGTCACCCGTGGTGGCAGATCGGGTCTGAAAGTAAAGTGCCTGGGGCGAGGCGGCGGGTGGACTTGTGGCCCCCAGAAGGTGAGTCTCTCTGGGACCAGTGGATGCGGACCTTACTTGGAACAGGAGTTTTTGCAGATATAGTCAAGGTAAGGATCTCACAATGAGCTCATCCTGGACTTGGTTGCGCCTTAAGGCCAATGACAAATGTCCTTAGAAGACACCGAAAAGGAAAAGACACGTGGAGATGGAGGCAGAGGTTGGAGTGATGCATCTGCAGGCCAAAGAACGCCAAGGCTGGACGGAAGGCAGGAGGGAGGCAAGGAGCGGATCTTCCCTCAGAGCTCCCAGAGCGCACCAGCTCCCACCAGCACCTTGATTTCGAATTCCTTGCCTCCTCGACTATGAGAAGATCAATGTTGTTTTAAACCTCCAGGTTTGCAGTGCGTTTTTATTGGCAGCTCCAGGTGACTAATACGTGGGTGAGGCAGAGAGGACGGGGTAGGCACCTGTGCTTGTGTGTGTGTGAGGAAAGCTAACTCATAATATCTGACATGTTAGAGTGTACCCATATTGCTTTGATAAAAATTCAACACTAACTGAGTAGATCTTAGAGATAGAAAAGCTTGAAGCACAAACTTTGCTAGATTCACTGCACAGCTGCACAGCGGAAGGGCAAGTGAGTGAGTCGAGAGATCAAGCTTGGAAATGCTGGGTCTGATTGCCGGAGCTGGAGATGGAAAGTGTGGACGGAAAGCCGGGACGTGGAGGGTCGGTCCAGGGGTTTCAGCGTCCTTCCAGTAGATGTTTCAGGGGAGAGAACAGAGGGTGGAGGACAGGCAGTCTTTGAAGCACTGACTCCAGGGTTTCCCCAGAAGTGATCAGGGATCTCAGGAGCCCGCGGAAAGCCAAAAAGCAAGAAAGCAAACGAAAGCCGTGCCAAGAAAACAGAGAAAAGGGAAACCGAATTTGCATCTCTCTCGACATGCAAAATGCAGCATAAAATAGGACATTGAGGACGGCCTTCCCAGAGCACTGAGGGAGAACACCTCTGAGCCGAGCGCCGGTGCCCGAGGGAGAGCCGCGCCGGCCCTTCCTTCGGGGGCCCCGGGGGAGGGGGCGCTGAGAGGCATCTCGGGGAGACGAAACACGAACTCAGAATTCACAAGATGAAAGAAGCAGCTGCCAGCAAACAAGTCAAAATATTTTGCTGAAGCTAAGGTATCGACCCTTTTAAAAATGAAAAAAATCTGAAATTCCAGACGTGTGGAAGAAAGCAGAGAGAAGGTGTACTGTCTTTCTTGTCTCATTCAAGGAGGATACATTTTTTTCCTTCAGGATTTTATTTTTAGAGAGAGAGGAAGGGAGGGAGAAACAGAAGGAGAGAAACATCGATGTGTGGTTGCCTGTCGTGTGCCCCCCAGTAGGGACCTGGTCTGTGACCCAAGCATGTGCCCTAACCTGACTGGGAATCGAACCGATGACCCTTTGGTTCATAGGCTGGTGCTCAACCCGCTGAGCCACACTAGCCGGGGCTACATGTTTACATTAATTTTTGAAAGAAAATATACATTTATGTATAGTAAAATAAAAATGTAACCAACAGCAGAATAGGAATAGATGGTTAAGAGGGGAAAAGAAAATTCGATTAATCTCACAAAGCACAGAAAAAAAATAGCTTGCAAATAGGATATAGACGAGTTCATGCGTGAGCCTGGTCACTTTCAACATGGCTGGTGTCGGCTTGTTAAACGTGGACGCTCCTGAGATTGGAGACATAGCCTCTCCCTAGAGGTGGAAATAAGTCTCAGAAAAAGACACAGGTGACATAATTTATTTTCAGAAGTGTAGCTAGATAGCACCCATGTCCTCTGATAGCCTCAGGTTAGATGTTTGTAGCTGGTGGGGTGTCTGTGTTCTTGCCTCTTGGAGCAGGAAAAGGGCGGAGGGCGGCCACCACGTCTTTCCTTGTGTCCTGCAGACAGAACCTGTTCTCGTTTCACCTGATGATTCTCTCTTCTGGGCGATACAGGGGACAGAACTCATGGTGCAGTGTAAAGCTTTCGTAGTTTCAAAGTGCACATTTGACATCTGGGAGACTTTTCTTCTTTTCCAGCGACGCAAAGATGAAGTTAAACTCCAAGTAAGGTCCATTTTCCCCAGAAGCCTGCGTTGTTGCGAACGGCCTGGTTAGACAGCACGCTCCTCTGCACGCGAGCGTCACTGAGTAGCTGACCCATGTTACGGATCGGCAGCCTTGATGTGTAGTTGCGAACCGTGTTTAAAATAATTTACAGAATTTTTGGGAAGACTCATGCAGGATTAGTAGTCTATATGTACTTCTGAACTCGTGGAAATGATTATATTCCTGTTGCATTTTTTCTTTCTGCTACACGTCTGTCGGTTGCTTTTCTCATTGGCTGTAAAAATTGTTTGCAGGTCCTACGGCCGGGCTCCCAAGATGATCCACCTGGAGTCCAACTTCGTGCAGTTCAAGGAGGAGCTGCTGCCCAAAGAAGGGAACAAGGCCCTGCTCACCTTCCCCTTCCTGCACATCTACTGGACGGAGTGCTGCGTAAGTGTCCGCCGCGGGGACCTGTCTGGGAGTCGGGTTCAGCCCTCGCGGGTCTAGGTGTTTCTGTGACAGCCATGACTTTCATGTGTTCTCGCTGGCGTGCCCTTCACCCTGGTATCCTCTTGTCCCGTCCTCGGCCGAGAGCGTGGCTTCGTTGCATCTGTCTACTCTGGTCCGGTGCGTTGCCCTCGGGGTCATTGGCCAGTGCAGTCTTACTTCCCGTGCTCGGGTCCTGTGGGCCATCCCTGTGCCCCACCCAGTGACCACTGGGTGTTTCTACTGTTTGTTCTCGGCCTCGTGTCCTCAATCTCCCGTGTCCTCCCTCACGGCCGTGTCCTCCCTCATGGCCCTGTCCTCGTGTGGCCCTTGCCGGCTCGTAGACTTTCTGAGGCCAGGGCGCCGTGTCCTCCCTCCTGACCCATGCCTGTCGCGGAGGCCCCCCTGACTGCGTGTCCGGGGAGTGAGCGCCGCTGCTGGCGGCCTTTCCTTGTACTTGGCCGTTGTGTGTTCGTGAATCCGGGAAGAAACTTTACGTGGGTCATTCCTTCCTGTCTTTTTGACTCTACTAAAGCAAACATTTAGCAATATGCAAAATACATAAATCATTGCAGGGCATTTTAACCTGAATCTGAGGAGGCAGAGGCAGTTTTTGTCATTTTGATGAGAATGAACTTAAAGCTCACGCCGGTTTCCCTGGACTTGACCCCACGCATCTTTTGCTTTTGCTCAGTGACACGTGTGAGACGTTGTCCATCAGGGGGATTCATCATAGACCCAGCCCCCGGGGCTCTTACCGGGGCTGGTCACCTGGCAGCTCTGCCCAGCACGTGCCCCAGACTCCAGACCCCCAGAGGGAGAGCAGGTGTCAGCACGGCCACCGTGTCTGCACAGACAGTGTGGGCCCAGTGCGGCACTCCCTTCACACGTGCTGAGAGCCCCCCGGAGTCCCCGTTCCCCGGCGCCGGCCCAGGGCCAGCCTTGAGCGCAGGCCTGGCCCCTCTTCCCTCCCCGGCCCCTCAGTGGTAAAGTCAGGTTCGATTCGTGGTCGGGGGTTGTCTGGTTTCCCCTTGCTGCGAGCAGGCCACCTCTGGGAGCCACTGCAGGACAGTGTGAGCACCCTTCTCCTCATCCGGTCGGTGTGAGCACCGGGACCCACCCCCGGGTGGCCTGCTTCCCCGAGGCGGCCAGCCCGTGCCCTACTCTAGGAAAGAGCCCGCATGGGTTTTTGGGTAATTCAGTGCTTTGCCGTCAATTAGTCTTTCTTATTTGATGTCCAGATTTCTCAGATGTGGCCAGTGAGGGTCAGTTCAGACTGGCCCGTGTGTCCCCGTGAGCATTTTCTAACTTTCTGGGACAGTAAAGATGTTCTGGGTCCCTGTAGTTTGCTGCCCTGATCCCGGAACCAGCCATGTCTTCCCAAACCACTGTGTCCTTTGCCGCCGCGGAGCGCCCCTGCTTCCTGCGCTCTCTGTGGACAGAGCGAATGCAGGGTATCGCATCTCCAGAGACCAGAGCGGATACGGTGCCGCGGGGTCCAGCCTGGCCCCACAGGGCTCTCCCTGGCCTCTCCCCGCTCTTGACCCCGCCGACACATCTGCTGCGGGCCCGGTCCTGCCGGGAGCCCGACACAGCCTCACAGCTGCTGCACCTGGGCTGCAGCTGGACGCAGGCTTCCAAGAGGAGTTCAGCAGTGGTTTGCAGTTTGCACTGTCCTGGACAGACAGGAACGCTCACTCCGGTCTGCGTGGGCCAGACCCCCTCCGCCTGCGTCCTGTTAGTGTTCGCCCAGGTGCTCTTGCCCGTGTGTTTTCACGCGGGGTTTTCTCTCCATGATGAATGTAGTCTGGCTGGCTGTTTGTGCTGCATCTGAAGGATCTTGATTTTCTCATGTTCACCTTGCTGGATTCTTCGGTTGTTTGGATTAGTGTCATCGTTGATTCTCTAGGCCCCAGTAGGGCTTTCCAGATACCCTGTCATGTCATCCGCAGATAGAGGTAGTCTGACCTCTGCGTGTGCAGTTCTGTGCCTCGCGTGTTTTCTCTGCTCCAAGACGTGGTTAAGTGGCGTGGAGACAGTGGGCACCGAGCCTTGTTCCCGGCCTCAGCGGGAATGCCTGCCGTGGGTCCCCGTTCAGTACCCTGTGGGCTGTAGGGGCAGAGGGAGGTTTGTAGGAGCGTGTCAAGGCAGTTCCATCCATTCCTGCTTTTTCAGGGCTTTTTAAAATTAGAAATACATTGTTGAATTTTGTTAAAGGCTTTTTTAGACACAATGGAGATAGTCATGATTTTTTCCACTTAGATCTATTAATACGTTGAATTACATTCATGGGTTTCTTGTTATTGTGCCGCACTTGCGTTCCTGGTAGAAATCCCTCTGGTCAGGTATTATTTTCTTAATGTGGGTTAGGTGTTTGTTCACTTCATTTAGGATGTTTGCATCTGTGTCCACAAGTGATTGGTCTCCGCCTTTTTTGTGTTCTGTTTCTCAGGTTGAGGGACCAGTGTTACACTTGATTCACCAAAAGAATTTTGAAGTTTTTTCCCTTCTGCTTCTGAAACAATGTATATAACACTGGGACTCTGTGGTCTCTGAGGTTTGGTGACATTGTCCCGTGAACCCCTCTGGGCCTGGTGCTCTTTGTGGGGTAGTTCCTTGACCACTTCCTGAATCTCTTCCGTGGAGATCGGTCTGTTTTAGCCATTTGTCCATTTTGATAAACTGCATTTTTCTGAGAAATTGTATATTTAGTTAAGTTTTCAAATTTACTTCTATTGAGGTCTGTGGTCTTTTTTGGCTTCTAAAATACGCTGTGTCCACAGCTGGTTCCAGCATGGCTCCTTATTCCGTGTGTGTGTGTGTGTGTGTGTGCGCTTTCTCCCACTCTTCCCCCACGACGGTGGTGAGGGGCCGGTTCTTCCTCCCGGAGCACCGGGGTTTCCTTGTCAGTCTGCTGTGCTGTTTTTCTGCGTCTTCATTAATTTTTTCTTCCACTTTTCTTTCTTTTAAAAAAAAAATTTTATTTATTTATTTTTAGAGAGGGAAGGGAGGGAGAAAGAGAGAGAGAGAGAAACATCAGTGTGTGGTTGCTGAGGGTCATGGCCCGAAACCCAGGCATGTACCCTGACTGGGAATCGAACCTGCGACACTTTGGTTCGCAGCCTGCGCTCAATTCACTGAGCTTTGCCAGCCAGGGCCCACTTTTCTTATTTTCTTTCTTTTGTTATGTTTTACTTTGTTCTTGTTCTAGTTTTTTTGAGTTGGAAATGCATTTATTTTTACTCTTTAAGTTTTTATTGCTATGGGTCTGTATAGATAGGGACTTAAATACACTCCAGTGTTCTGTAATTATTTTGGGGGTATTCTCTATTTTCTGTTTGTGTTGCCTCTTTCAGCTAGTAGTTTAACAGAAAGTTTTTTAATTTCCAAAAAGAAAGTTTAAAAATTTTTAAAATTTCTAATATTATTGCATTGTTTGCTTTATGAAACTTATTTTTTCTCTGTGACCTAATAAATTATCAGTTTTTGTGGATGGTCCATGCTTGTTTGAGAATGCATTTTCTCTTTTTTCAGGTGTTTATGTTAAATATGTATTCATAGAAATATCTTGCTGATTGTGTTGTTTAGATCATCTATATTTTAATGTTTTGTCCATTTGACCTGTCTTTAACTGACGGCGGTACGTTAAAGCCTTCCCCACCAAAATGTTTCTCTTCTCTCGCACCTTTTGCAGTTGCTGATTTGTAAAGGAGGTCGATGTATTGTTTAGTGCATGGGTATTTGTAACCAGTATAACTGTTATGGAATGAAATATGTCATTTAGAAAATGGTTTCTGAGTAGCATATCTTGTTTTAGAAAGGCCTTGTCTGTCTGAAGATAACTGATTTTCTCCTGTATTTTCTTTTAATGGTTCTGTAATTTGTGCTATAATTTGGTCCGTGTAACTTCAGGTGATTTTTGTGTACAGTAGGAGCTATAAGGACTTGGGGCCTAATATTGCAGTCTAAGTATGCGGCAAATTGGCCTACCATCACTTCATATTTGTTTGTCTTTTTCACACTAATTGAAAAATACCTCTTTCATTTTAAGCCAGAATCCTACACGCACAACATTCTGGACACGTCAGCTTTATTGACCATTGTCTAATCTGTGCTGGGATTGGACTTCTGACTACTACATTTTTAGAATGTGTATGGATAGCTGTTTTTTAAAATAAATCCCTTCATTGGTGTGCATTTTCTCTTCCATGTAAACTTTGAAATCAGATTGTTAGGTGTACACATTTTATTTTCCGAAAGCGCCTGTACCAGTTCATCCCATCCACAGCTCTTCCGTCCGTGGCAGGGACAGCCCTCCATGGACAGGCCCGGCCTGCGCGTCCCCTGGTGGAGTCCGTGGGCCTCTGGCTGGCAGAAGGGACGCTGTAACTTTTGAGACTCTGTCATAAAAGGTAACTTACCTTCTGCCGGGTCCTCTAAGGACGCTTGCTCTTAGAGCCCAGCCACCATTCTGTGAGGAAGCCAAGCTCCCCCACAGGAAGGCCATCTGGGGGTGCAGTCCCAGTCCCAGGGGGTCCAGGTCCCCACGCTAACACCCACCAGCAGACAGGCGATGCCTTCCTGCTCCAGCCTTCAAACCCCACAGCTGACACCAGGGGGCACTGACGAGCTGTCCGCCGAGCCTCTAGGGTGTGGGCTGGTGAGCAGAGTAAATGTTCTGGACTGTTACACACTGTGTGTTGTTACAAAGCAGCAGGCAACTGGAACAGAGTCTAAAAGAAAGAGGGAAAGACTATAGAGTTTTGGTTGTGACTGCCTCGGATAAGTTACAGATCAGTGAGAGAGGAATTGGTAATCGTGCATCTTCCTGGCTGGGAACATGGCTTGTTTCTGCCTTCTTCCTGTCTTCTTTATGCCCTTTAATCACGTGCCGCAGTGGTTTTCACGGAAGTCTTGTATTTTTATTTTCGGAATAAAATAGTTTTGTGGGCATTATGAATGAGGTGTGTTTTTTTTTTTTCTTAAATTGCATTTTCTCATAGGGAGCCTGTATATCTCGTTGTTGTTTTAGGGTTTTTGTTTGTTTAGTTTTACTATCTATTAAGAGTTTCCCGGAGCAAGCTGATCATCATGAGGATTTTAAATTTAAAAGTAAAACTCTTCGCTGCGTTATTTCAGTTCAGCAAGCCCTCCCTTCCCGTCGTCAGTGGGTTCTGGGGACGGCAGCAGAGTGGCGGCGTGGCGGGAACTCAGGCTGGCGTAGGCTAGGCGGTGCGGACGGGGCTGACACCCCTACAGCGCCCTGTCGGGCGGCGTTGAACAGCACGGCGGTGCTGGGGGATTCGCTGCCACTGCCGCAGTGTCCGTGCTCATCTGTGCCCCTGCGCCTCCTCCCTCCTGGTCACCGTGCCTGACACGCGGCAGGAGAACCGCACAGCAGTGTGCCGCCGCGGTGTCCCCCCGCCTCTGTGTCGTGGTGTCGTGGTGTCGTGGTGTCGTGGTGTCGTGGACGGGCCCCACAGGGCACAGGCCCTGCGCTACGCTCTGACAGGCAGCCGCGTCCCCACCTCTGTCTGCAGGGTTGCCCTTTCTGGGGCTGCCCTTCCTTTGGTCTGTCTGTCTGTCTGTCCCGGTGGTCAGGCGGTGTCCACCCCTCTGCCGGCAGGACACGCCTCGCCCTTGTGCACGGCAGGCCCGTCCGTTGGTGACGCGTTTGTTACCTCAGCGTTCGTGTTTCTGAGAAAGGAGTTGGCCTTTGTTTTTGGAAAATGTTTCACTGGCCATAGAATTCTAGTTTGAAGTTTTTTTTTTTCTTTTAACACTTAAAAGACGATGCTCCATTGTCTTTTGTTTTCCAGGATTACCCATGAGAGAGATCTTTTTTTGTTGTTGTTACTTTGTACATAAGTGTCTTTTTTCTTGTGGTGCTTTAAGATTTTTTTCTTTATCCATGGTCTTAGGCAGTTCGATGGTGGTGCGTGTTGGTGTCGTTTCCATGTTTCTGTGCTTGGGTGTTTTGGGCTTTGGGGATTATAATTTTGGTCAGATTTGGAACATTTTTGCTCATTTTTTCTTCAAAATTATTTTCTGTATCTCCTTTTTCTTCTACTTCCCTTTGGGGACCCCAGTTACTACATGCTAGGCCACTTGAAGTCACCCAGCTCGTTGATGCTGCGCTGATGCTTTATGAGTGTTTTTCTCTCCGTGTTTCATTTGGATGACTTTTGTTTCTGTGTCTTCAAGTTGTCTGATCTGCTCTTAATACTCCCCAGTGTATTTTCCAGTTTAGCACTGTGGTTTTCGTCTTCAGAAATTCCATGGGGGTTTTTCCTTCCTCATTTTAAAAATATCTTTCTTGGCTCTGCTTAACATCTTGCACATACGCAGCGTGGTTACCAAGACTATTTTAATGGCTTTGTCTGCTAATTTTATTATCTGCATCATTACTGAATTTACTTCTACTGACTGGTTTTTCTGCGTGTTATGGACCGTATGTTCTGCTTTCTTGCCTGGCAGTTTTTTATTGGATGCCAGACATTATAAGATTTTATTTTGTTCGTTCCTGGTCTTTTTGTAAGCCTAGAATTTTTCCTGAGCTTTAACTAAGTTAAGTCCGATCCTCTTGGGAATTGCCTGTATGTGTTGGTGGGACCGGAGCAGTGAGCAGTCTAGGACTAACTGTTCTTCTCTTTCTGAGTTCTGCGCCCGATGCCCTGTGAGCGGGGAGGTTTCCGCTCTGGCCTGTGAGCACAGCTCCTGTTCCTGGCCCCACGTGGGTGTCTTGTCCTGTGTGGCGGGCCTCGTCCTGGCTCCGGGTGCTGCCTGTGTGCACGTGCTCCCCAGTTCCCTTTGGAATACCCGAGGGCGCGTCGCAGGCCTCCAGGGTCCCCTAGCGCTGCTCTCTCCCCTGGTCCCCTGGCCTCCTGGGAGCATCTGCCTCCCTCTCCCAGGACTGTTCAGCCCCCTCCCTGTGCGTGGGCGGGCCGCCCCGGGCCTCAGCTGCGCTGCTGTCAGGGTGCGCCTCCCTGTGGCCCCTCTCAGGAACTGTCCTCCGTTGCCTGACGTCCAGGGTCTCGGAACCCCTTATTCGTGTTTTTTTTGGGGTGAGGAGCGGGAGGTTGTTTCAGATGGTTGTGTCAGTTTCTGGTCCCTGTCACTTCATCTTGTCTGGAAGCAATCATCCCGTCCCGTTCACTGATTGGTGTCAGTACACACTCATTAATTTCTAGTTTTTCAAATGTAATTCCTTAATACCATTATTTATTTTAATGCTCAGGCTGTCCTGGATTCCGCCTCTGTGACCTTTGGAAATGCCGTCATTGTCTGAGCGCTCCCTTGCACGGGGCGTCCTGGGTCCTTTCCCAGTGCTTTCCCTGCCTGAGCCCTGGGCCAGCTGTTCTCCAGGGACCCTGGGTTCTAAGGGGAAAATTGTCCTTAGAAACCGAGGTCTGGAGCCAGGTGTGCTGTTTGCCGATGAGCCATCTCAGCGATATAGCTGGAGAAGGCATGCATGTCTGTACATGTGTGTCACCTGCATATCCATCTACACCTGTGTTTCTGCGTGTAGCTCTGTGTGCATGCACAGACACATGCGTGTACACGCGCGGTCCACCTCCAGCCCTGCCCCACCGGGCTGATCACAGTTCCTTCCTTTCCACATCTGTCGCTCCCTTCTCTGAGACCGGGAGTCGGGCTCTTCTCACCCTCCAGAGGTTTGCTCGCTCGAATGCTTGCTCGCACAGGGCGCTCTCCTGCCTCTGCATCCTGCCCCCCACAGCACGGCGCCCCTCTGGTCGGAGCAGACTCCCGGTGCTGGACCATGCGCTCCGCACTCCCCCTGACCCACGGCACCCCCGGGGGGGGCCTCTGTCCTGCTCGGCCTCAGACACCTCGTGTCAGCGCCCGAGCCCTTCATCATCCCACGCGGGGTCCCACGTCTTGTGCTGTGACACCCTCCTTGTTCTGCTCGGCTCTGAGGCCCGGGCAGGGCTGCTCCTCACTTAGGCCTCTTTGTTGCCCCCGCCGTGGACACCTTTCCCTCCCTCCCTGCTAACGGGTTCCTCCGCCATTAGCCGTGTTTTCCCGAGAAACCCTTACTTAACCTCAGGGCTCGCCTGTGCTCCTCTTCTGGAGAGACGCTCAAGTCTTCTTAGCGTCGTTCCCTGTCGTGAGTGGTAGGCTGGACCTACACTCCCGGTTTCCCCAGGGCTTTGGGGGACCCTGTCCCGTCTGCTCCTTATTGAGGTCCCGTCCCGAGTCCCCGCACACTGCCTGTCCTGCCGAGTGTCTCCGAGGGTGTGCAGGTGTCTGCCCCAGGTGCGGCAGCGTCTCCTGGGGTGGAGAGCAAGGGGCGGGGTGGGGCTGGAGGGGGCGCAGGGCACCTGGAACCAGGCCCTGTGGTTCCCTTGGCCCATGAGGCTTTGTGATTTGGGTCCGCTTTTTGGGAGCGTTGGGGCCTGTGGCATTTTGGTTTCCCCTCCGGGTGGGATGATTGATGCCTTTGGGCTCTCAGAGTTCCTGCGGAACACCAGCGTTCTGAAATCTGATTTCAAGTCCTCACACCGCCATTCTATGGAGAATACACAGCATATGAGCATGAGTACAGTAATTCACAGAAGACTGATTTTTGCAAGATGTTTTTTTCCTTAAATTTTAAGTAAAATATTTTTTTCAGATTACATTTGCTTCTAATTTAAACCAAGAGCCATAGTTTTATAATCAGGCTAAAAATTATAAGTACTGCCTTTTGGAACTTTTCACTTATTAATGAAACCAAAAGTGGGACTGGATACGGAATTTGAAATTGAACTTGCTCATGAATCAGTCACATTAGTACAGATCTGCAGGAGTTGTTCTTCAGGAAAGACTGGGAACTTTGTGGCAGTGTGGGCAGGGTAGTGAGGACTCTTCCATTAAAAGAGGGGAAAGCAGCTACGCAGTATGGTTTCTAAAGGTTTTTAAATGCCTAATTTTGAAATGAATTAGGTATCTTGGTTTTTAGATTTTTCCTCTGGATCTTCTAAGTGCATTTATGGAGCTTATAGGCAATTATAAATAGAGATACAAATAGCAAGGACAGTCTCTGTCTCCCTGCTTCTTTCTGTCTGGAAGGGACTGAGGCTGGCCTCGCTGGCTCTGGTGCAGGCCGGGCGCTCTCTTTGGCAGCTGATGTGTAGAGCTCAGGGCTGGAAGCAGCATTGATTTTTAGGACCAGGACAGCTGTCCTGTCTATCCATGAGAGTCAGAATAGCTTTCGAGAAGCCTCAGATAGTCCTCTTTCATTGGGCTGCCTTGCCCCAAGTGTGGCCTGCGAGTGGCACGGGGTTTGAAGGGGTTCTGGGGGTTGGCAGAGAGCTGAGGGGCTGTGGAGGGAACTGCTGGGAGGCTGGCCCCGGCCCGGCCCTGACAGGCAGCCCACAGTGGTGACAGGCAGCCTGTGGTGGAGGACCCGCTTGCCCCCCATCCAGGCAGAGCCCACGGCAGTGCTTGCTTGGGCACAGGGCCTGTGGCCGTGCTGACCTGGGTTTTGAAGTCCCAGCCTGCCTAGCTGACTGTGTCCCTGTGGGCAACTTCCCGGGCTGTCTGACTGTCACTCTCTCCCTCTGCGACATGGGAAGGTCTCCCCGCAGTGTCCCGAGTATTTGGGGGCAACAGATAGGCGGTGCCCAGAGACCTGCAGGGTGGCTCCGTGCTGGGGGTCTCCTGGAGTGTCCCCAGCCCGGGACTATAAAGCACTCTGGCTGCTGTGTTCTCTGTTCCGAGACACATTTGCCATATAAATGAAAGGGATTGATTAACTTGCTTTCACAGTGACTTATTTATTTTTAGGATACTGAAGTGTATAAAGCTACAGTAAAAGACGACCTTACCAAGTGGCAGAATGTTCTGAAAGCCCATAGCTCTGTGGACTGGTTAATAGTGGTAGTTGAAAATGATGCCAAGAAAAAAAACAAAACCAACATCCTTCCCCGAACTTCCATTGTGGACAAAATAAGAAATGATTTTTGTAATAAACAGAGTGACAGGTAAGTGATCTTTAATTTCACCTCATTGGGCTGGTTCCTGGGTGATGCAGATCGCTGGCTCGGGCGCTGGGGCGTGTGCCTTCTGAATGGCTGTGGCGTGCCTGACGCCAGCTGGGGCGGGTGATGGGGCGCCTCTCCTGCCGGAGAGCCTGGCCTGGCAGCCGGAACCTGCACTCAGAACCCCCGCGGAGAGGCCCCACACAGCGGGTCCCCTCTCTGAAGCATGACAGTGATGGGTGTCAGCGTAACAGGGCTCCCAGGAGCCTTGGCGTTCTTGGTGATGCAGGACCCCTTGGAAGCCGCCCCCCTTCAGAATCCGCCAGCGGGGCGCCGTGGCCGTGGTGGAAACTGTCCCGTGGACTGGCCCCCCTTACTCGCCCCCCTCCCGCCCAGGTTCTGGTCTCTCTCCTGGGGGTGGCGCACTTCTTCCTTGTCAGGGATGCAGTTCCCGGCCGTGCCGGCCAGCGTGTTTTCCCACGCTGTGGATTCGGGTCTGTGTCGCGTAGTTTGGTGCCTCAGTTCACCCGGGCCCTGCGGGTGAGTGGGAAGCGTGGTCCCTGCTCTTTCACAGTGTGGGGTAGCGGCGGAGACGGCGTTGCCTCACGCCGAGGTAGCCCCAGCGCAGTCACCGCCATCGCAAGCGTGAGACCAAGGGGTCGGGGCGCAGCAAGAGCCTGGGGGAGTCGCCGGCCTGCTCTGGGGCTGGGAGCGGGGGTGCTGCCCTGGGGACGCAGTGGCGTGGCGGTGGGGCTCAGGAGTCAAGGACGGGAAGGAAGAGTTCCTGAGGACTGGCTGGGAGTACCAGCCAGACTGCCGCGTGGCGGACTCATTCTGTGACTGCGACCCGTGTCAGGGTCACCCCGTGAATTGGCAGTTCTTTAGGGGAAGGAGCCATATGTGGCTTGTTCAAACTTGCTTTATTTATAGCTTGGATAAAATGTTAGGTGGTTGAGCTTACGGTTTATCTTTGAGGGATTTCATGCAGTCTGGACTTGTGGGAGTTCTTCCTTAAGGACGTCTCTTCACAAATTAGTTATCCCAAAGGAGTCAGTTTAAGAGCTTAGCGAGATGCTCCATAACTGAGTGGCCTGTCCCTCTCTGTGACTCAGGGACACTGGTGTTTTTGTTCTCAAAGAAGGGAGAGCAGGGACCCGGGAGCCTGACGGGCGAGGGGGAGGCGTGGCTGCTGCGGAGTAAGGACACTCCAGTGCAGCAGCCGGAATGGGTTCAGCAGAGCAAGAGAAATGTTTGTGTGGGTTTTATTAGGCAAATAAGTGGGTGTCAATAGAGTGTATTAGTCTAAACTTGTGAAACATTTGGATTTGTATGATGACTTTTTTGAAGTGCCTATTGATTACTTTTAATACAATTTTTATCTAATTGCCAAAAGTATGTTTCCGCTGAGCCCACTTAAAACGAACTTGCATTTAATGACTATTCTTTATGCGTAAAATTTAACTTACTGAAATTTTTAACATTTTATCTCCAGTATTTAACCATGTCTTCTAACACTTTCATTTTCATTAATTTGCAAAGCTATCTTCGACAGATCTATATTTTTTCATGTAAAAACTGGATCAGATTTTCATAAATTTGATTTAGTAACATCTTTATTGACAATTATTTTATTAGACAATATAATTTCTGCCTTTGGAAATATTGGAACACCCGGTCCTGAGGAGCTTACAATTTTTTAAATTTCTGATTACAGATGTTTACAGGGTTGTTGTAGAATTGTTAGAAAGGGCAGAGCTCAGAAAGAAAACAGATATTAACTCTTAATATTCAGCACGTATCTTTCAGATGCTTCTCTCTCTTTATCTGTGTGCACATGTGTGCATGTGACATGCTACAGGTGTGTGGTTTGCACTTGCCTTTCTCACCGAATTCCAGTGTACGTTGTGATAGTTTTTCCTTTGACAGTAAGCGTATTTCCATACCATTATGGTTATGGATGTTCTGTAGTAGTAACGTACTTTAAGTTATCTGTACCACCCTCTGCTGGGCTTATAAGTTATTGCTTATTTATTATAAACAACAATATTATAAATAATATTCTAGCTCCAGTGTTGTGGACATCCTTATTAGTTCCTTAGAATAAACCCCGGAAAGGAAACTTGCTTGCAAAGGGTTTTGTGCTTTGTCAGGCATTTGGCATTTGGTAAGTGTCACTTGTGGACTGTCTGTGCGCCTGGCTGTCCGGGGCCCCGGCCTGGAGCTCCTCGTCGCCCCGCGCCTCTGAGCAGCTGCCTGGGACAGCCCGGGGCTCGGAGCATGTGGCTCTTCCCCAGCTGGCGCCCACCTCCCCTGACTTGAACTCTCTTGGGTTCTCCCTTTCTGAGTTAAGTGTCTAGGCTTAATGTGAATTTCTTGAGCGTAGTGCTTTTTTATTACAAAAAGGTCTAGTAACATCGAAAGTTGGAAGGCTTTGTCGTGGGTGGAGAAAATAATGAGTGCATTGCCCGGGAGGCACCAGGACACTGAGACCAGTACTGTTTCGGGGGTTGGCATCCGCCTGCTCCTGTAGGTGCAGGGTCTCTCTGTGTCTCACGCTGTGTCTGCTCGGGAATGATGCTGATGGGGGAATAATGCTGATGGTTACCGTCCTTGGGAGGCCCTGAGGGCGAACTGCTGGACTGGCAAACTCTGGCCGCTCCTGTGGTGAACAAGCACACTAGTCCTCTGTGGGGAGGGCTTCGGGGTGAGCTGGCTGGACCCCTCTGTCTCTCGGGGAAGAAACCGAGTCCGGGGCGGAGCGGCTGGAAGTAAAGCCCGCTGCCGGCCTCTGGGTTTCCTTTTTGGTGCTGCCCGTTCACTAGGGACTTCGTCCTGGCTCTCAGTGGGGGGCTGAGCGCTCCACGGAGTTAGCCCTCCCTCCGAAAGGTGCGGAGGGCGCAGAGCAGTGAAACTCAGAGTCGGCTCGTTTCGGTACTTGTTGGTGACTCAGGTAAAATATTTACCGAGGAGGGATGACGAAACTCATTAACATCAGTATTTTAAAATTATTTCTGAGTTCAGACTTATTCATCTCTTTTCTAATTAGTATCAAGGAAGGATAAAGAAAGTGACCTTTCCTAACCTTTTGGATGGAGATGTAGCCATTTCCAGATCCACTGGACACTCTTGTAAGGTTGTGCCTTTGACACTTGTGCATGGACATAAAGTCCTCTCACAGTGAGGCTGTATTACACCTATGTGTTAAGCCACTGTTCCTCTAAGCTTGTATTTATTATTCGTTTATTCTCCTTGCTCTTGAGGAGCTCACGGTCTGGGAGGAGACGGACCTACAAAGGGACACTCAGTGCGGGAGGGGCTGAGAGGGCAGAGTGGGCACAGCAGTGGGTGGGGGGGGACTTCAGTGAGGCTGTGTCAGCTGAGCTGGGGTTTGAAGGGGGAACAGGAGGAGCACCCTTGACAAAAAGAGGGGCGAGCATGGGAAGGTCAGTGGCCCCAACTGGAAACGGTAAGAAGTACAGCAGACACCTCAGCTGATCCAGTCGTGATGGTCCTCACATGCCGTGTTAAGTAAATTTTAGCTTGTCGGTTACAAGGAACCAAAAGAGGTTTTTGAAGGAAGCGGGGGAAGTGAGGTTTGGGAACGGAGTGTGACGCGACCACTTTGTTTTACAGAGAAGCTGGAGGCAGGGTCTGGGACCTGGGGTTCATCCTAAACCCTTGTCCTCCTCTCCGGTCCGCTCTGCAGCGATCCTCCTCGGGCAGCACCTGCTGCTCGTGTGGCATCGAACCTTTTCCTAAGCTGGGTTCTCACCGCCTGCCTAACGTCTTTCCCCCGCTGAAGAAGGGAGAAAGGATGGGGGGGGAGGGGAGGAAGGAGGGCGAGGCCGGAAATCACCGGGAGGAAAAGCGGGGCCCGACGCTGGAGAGTATTTCCCAGATAGTCTGTTTGTGTCTCCGCAGGTGTGTTGTGCTCACCGACCCCCTGAAGGACTCTTCTCGAACTCAGGAATCCTGGAATACCTTCCTGACCAAACTCAGGACATTGCTTCTTATGTCTTTTACCAAAAACCTAGGCAAGTTTGAGGATGACATGAGAACCTTGAGGGAGAAGAGGACTGAGCCAGGCTGGAGCTTTTGTGAATATTTCATGGTTCAGGTACTTGAGCGATGGTAGAACTGGTCAGCCCCTCCCTCCCTCCCTTCCTCCCTCCCTCCTTCTTTCTAAATAAGGCCGCTCTCTTGTGGTAAGTCTTATTGGCGTAATTTTTCAAACCAATGTCTTGTCGTAAGTCTTATTGGCATAGTTTTTCCAACCAAGAGACTGTATGGTAGCTAACAGATGTTTCTGTCTCTTGGCTTATCAAGCAGGAGACCAGAGGTTACCATTCCTGAGTGACTGTATCGTCTGCTCTTTGGAGCTCCAGCACTTGGCATTAGCCTTTTATGAAAGGGCCTTGCTCTCAGACTGACACCGGCGTGTGCGGGCCTTCCGGGGTGCGTGCCGTGCGCGTGCCTGGGGAGGCTGTGGCACAGGAGCCCCAGCGGTGGCGAGGGTCACGGTGGGGAAGATGCCCACCACCTGCCCGCCACTGTGACTGACTGTGCTGTGATGTCCTGGGCACAGTTCTCTCTAGTTGTGTGTTGTAATCAGTCTGGGGTCCTAGTAAAAGATAGCCTTAGGCTACTTTCTTTACAACAGTTTTAAAAAAGTTTAGATTTTAAAAACTGTAGTTTGTAACAGTTCTTTTTCTGTTTAAGCAGAAAAGTCTCAGTGAACAAAGGGATGGTAATGGTATAGTTTGGGGGGAGGGGGCCTTCCTGACACTGCAAAGGGGGACAGACTGTTGCTCTTAGGGTTCCTTGTTTGTATTCACAAAACTTATTTTCTTTTTAAAGATTTTATTTATTTATTTTTGGAGAGGGAAGGGAGAGAGAGAGACACATCAATGTGCGGTTGCTGGGGGTCATGGCCTGCAACCCAGGCATGTGCCCTGACTGGGAATTGAACCAGTGACACTTTGGTTCGCAGCCCACACTCAATCCACTGAGCTACGCCAGCCGAGGCTTCACAAAGCTTGTTTTTTACATTTAAATACCACTTGTGTATTAATTGCTGAAGAAATAATACACTTTGAGCAAATAAGTGACAATTCTGATTAGAAATTTCGATGTTTGTCTCTTCCTCCGATGCTTTTGTCGCAGTGGCATTTGGACGGCGGGGTGCGTGGAAGGGACTTCGAGTCTCATAATCTCCTGTGTGGCTGGCCTGCTGCAGGCCTTGCCGTTTGCCCTGTCTCTTCGCCCTTTGAGTGGACTGAGCTTAGTTTCGAAGAGTTACAGACAAGGAAGGGGGATTCTAAATGAACCCAGTGGTGTTGGGTCGGAATCTGAGGTGTCAGTGTGAACCCACAGTGGGTGGGTGGGTGGGTGAGTTGATTTGGAAATAGAGGGTGTGTGTGTGTGTGTGTGTGTGTGTGTGTGTGTGTTAGTACACACATGTGCACACTCTGTCATCTGACAGGGCCAAGGAAGAATGACACCTCAGTAGCAGTGAGCACACCTAGTGCCAGAGCTTGGTTTCTTTTTTTTTTTTTTCAAACACTAATTTTTTTTAAATAGAGATCTGTAATTTTCTTTTTGATTTTATTTATTGATTTTTAGAGAGGGAAGGGAGGGAGAAGGAAAGAGAGAGAGAAACATCAATGTGCGGTTGCTAGGGGCTGTGCCCTGCAACCCAAGCATGTGCCCTTACTGGGAATCGAACCTGCGACACTTTGGTTCGCAGCCCGCGCTCAATCCACTGAGCTATGCCAGCCAGGGCTCAGAGCTTGGTTTCTAAACTCCATGTTCCACTAAGAGGTGTGGAGCTCCTCGCAGAAGCGGTTGATTCCAGGCTTGAGGCAGGGGAAGTACAAGAGGGGCCTGGGATGTCTGTGGACCCAGCAAGTAAGGAGGTGCACAGGAAGGCAGAGGTCCTTCAGAAGAACATAAGCACCACCAACAGGAGCCTCCCCATGGCCAAATAAGTGATGACGGAGTTGGCCCATGAATGAAGTTAATACCCATTAAGCCTGAATGGGTGTAAACATAGAGCTGCTTAAATGAGTAGGTGGAGGATAGCGCCCAGCTCTTCCACGTGGGAGAACCCAGTTAAGAACTCGTATCTGGGCCGGTAAGGGGAGTGCCTAGGACGAGAGGTGACTGTGGCGTCCTGTGCTGCTGCTGAGTCATGGAGGGTCAGGGCTCACCGTGGCCCTCCCCTGTTTCGTCCCAGTCCCCTCTCTGCCTGCATAAACGTTGGCATGCCATGAAACTGGTGTCTACTCAGCGTAGCACAGACGTCGTTTATAATGCTGCCTGCTTCTCTCCACCACAGTCTTTAACAGCTGTGTAATGTCTCACAGTATTGATTTATGTTTTTGCTTTTTTAAAACTTTGTTTGGGTGAACAGGAGGAGCTTGCCTTTGTGTTTGAGATGCTGCAGCAGTTCGAAGACGCCCTGGTGCAGTACGATGAGCTGGACGCCCTGTTCTCCCAGTACGTGGTCAACTTCGGTGCTGGCGGTGAGTACTGACGCTTCGCATGCACATCTCTGCCTGCTTCCCCGCTCTGCGGTGGTCTGGGAGCTGACAGTTATTCACAGAACGATCACACCATCCCGTGTTGCTGCTTAAAAAATAAATGATATGCTTCCAGTGGGAATGAAATGAGAATTAAGATTTAGTCACTTTCAGTTTTAGAAGAATCCTAAGTATTAAAAAGCATTTAAGAAGCTGTTTCTCCAGGGTGAAGTGTCATGTTTACAACTTACAGCTGACTAGGGAAGCTCCTGATTCCGTGCCTCCTCGCCAGTGTGGGTGGGGGTCTCACTTCTGTTGGAGGTTGTCTTCGTGATCTTGGAGAGCCCCTTGCAGTGAGTTTTATGGGACACCCCTGTGATGGGTGTTCACCTTTTAAACTTTCAGATAATGTCTTAAATTCTCTTAAAAGTACACAGTGCAGTGAAACCGTAGGCAAGGTTTATAACCGTCCCCACTGTAGTGGATAATTGGTTTGGACAGAAGTGGCATCACACACATACATCTGTTTGTCTGTGGCTGGTGGTTCTCAGCAGCAGCCCACCGCAGGCGTCTCTCCAGGTCAGCAGTCGGAGCTCTGCATCATTTTTGCTCTCAGCCGCGCGGCGCTCCCCAGGGTGCGCTCATCAGTTTGTTCAGCCGCCCCCGGCGCTGGGCGCTTGGGTTGTTTCCACGGCTGCCACCACAGGCAGGGCTGCAAGAGACGGCTTTGTCGGGGTTTTTGTTCGCTTGTTTTTTTGAGAGAGCCCTTGTCACGGTGTTCAGAGAACAGAGTGATTTTAGGGAGCCATCGTGTCTGCCAGAAGGCCCTCGGGAAGGGAGTCCCGGGAGAGTCCGCTCGGGCCACGGTGCCGCCCCTGCTCCGGACGTGCTGATGAGACGCCACCGTGGTCCCCGCTCCAAGCCAGTTGTTGCCAAGTTCAGGTGTGGATCTCTCTTTGCCAGACACAGATTTAAACACACGACCAAAGCAAAGTATTCACTAATGAAATTAAAAAAAATTTAGGAGGTAGTAATATATATATATTACTCGGGTCCCGAACAGCTGGGACCATTTGAAATCCAAAAGTAAGCCTGGTCCAAGTTTTGCAGCTGACCGATAAGATTGTTCATTTTTGCTCCTTCGTATCGTAGACGCCGGCTGGGCACCCACCACGCACCAGGCACTGTCCTCAGGGCGGTGGGGCCGGCCCGAAGTCAGGCACAGAAAGATGCATGTTTACTTAGAGTCGGGTAGTCAGGAGTGTGGGCTGCAGAAAAGAACACAGGGAGCGGGGAGGGTGGCAGCAAGTGCGTTCAGTTTTAGACAGGACAGTCAGGCAAGGCTCTCCGAGCAGGTGGCATTAGCACAGAAGCCTGAAGGGGAGGTGGGCGTGAGCCAGGAGAATCCTGGGAATGGCGGGACCAGCAGAGGGACCTGCTGGTGTCAGGACTCCGAGGGCCTGGCAGGGCACTGCGCGTCGCGTGCGCTCCGGCGGCTCTGAGGGCAGGTCGGAGTCGGTAAGCGATGCTGTGGGCTGTGGCTGGCACTTCAGATATGCAGGGATGTCAGGTGCCACCACCCAGTCACCCACCGACATGGATGTACCAGGAAATCGTCACACCACCTCTGTTTTGGAGTGAGCAAAACAGATTAAGATTTTTTTCCATGAAGATTGAATGACTTGTTATTGTAGATTCTTATGTTCATTTTAAGATCCTATTTGAGTCTTGGGGTAATAAGTTTAAATTGAGGGCATGGTTGGAAATTCATGACAAGCAAGAATTTCCCCCTCTGCTTCCTGCTGTCCAGCCCTCCTCTGCCCGCGGTCCTTTTCTCTGGGGCAGGACTCAGGTAGTCGGCATGGCGGAGTTAGAGACAGCTGGGTGGGGTCAGAAGTGGAGACAGAAAGACCCACGCGAGCAGGCTGCCCTCCAGCCGCAGAAGACCCCCAACCCAGGCCTCACGCCTTCCCTGGGAGCTGAGGACCCCAGAGCCCCGGGCTCCCTGGCCCCCAGCCCGCCAGCCTCCGACCGCTTCCCCGCCAGTCCTCCACCTTGTGGCGTGGTGCGGCGGTGCCTGGGCCGAGGTCACATTACCTTGTGCTCATTGTCCCGGGACAGATCTGGGGTGAGGTGCTTGTGGTGATGACCCCATCTCCGCCTCCCAAGACTGGTTCCACGCCAGCCGGAAGGGGGTGGGCTGGCGCCTAGGGCGTATGTGGGTGGTGAGCTGCCCGTCGGTGCCTGAGCCCCACAGCTCCTCGAGAGGCCCAGGGAGGTGGAGGGATGTGTAGTCAGCCTCTCATGCTGTGTGTTTGTTTAGATGGTGCCAACTGGCTGACTTTTTTCTGCCAGCCGGTGAAGAGCTGGAATGGATTGATCCTCCGAAAGCCCATAGATATGGAGAAGCGTGAATTGATACAGAGGCAAGAAGCTACCCTGTTAGATCTGCGCAGTTACCTGTTTGCTCGCCAGTGCACCCTGCTCCTCTTCCTGCAGAGGCCGTGGGAGGTGGCTCAGCGCGCCCTGGAGCTGCTGCACAGCTGTGTGCAGGAGCTGAAGCTCCTGGAAGTGAGTCGTGCGTTTTCCCCGTTCCCCCTTCCTTGACCGTTCCAACACAGACCCCAGGCACTGAACTGTTTGTGCTTCGGAAAGAGCTCTCTCTTCTTCTGAACGTCCCTGATTTTTTATGTGTAGTTTATATAGTTACTCTTTACATTAATTAATTACTTGCTGGAGCATATAGTAATTTCTGCCCTCAACGTGGTGGAGCTCCTGTTTGGCCGGAGCAAGCCTCTCAGACCCGCTTCTTCAGGGGCCTTTGGCTCGTGCTGTGGGGCGGGTCTCCGCTGGCAGAGGTTGCCCCCCCCCCATGGCCACGGGACGTGCAGAGTCGGGTTTTGCAGGCAGATACGTGTTTTATTTCAGAACTGTTCATGTTGCACACGAACGTGCAGACGACAATGCAACGCTCAGCCAGCTGTGCCGTGTTAATGAGCAGCACAAAGACGAAGGGAAGGTGTGCTCTGAGCACGTGTGTGCATGCGTGTGTGGGAGAAACCGCCTGGGGAGGCAGAACACTGTTGATCTGCGGCGGAATGCCGCCTTTAAAAATGAATTTACGGGGCCCTGAACTCTCTCCTGCCTGTGGACTTAGAACATCGCAGTGAGGAAACCTAGTTGGGGGGTCCTGCCATTTAACTCAGAGACCTCCTCACCCAGGAAGACGCACACGTGCGTGTACAGTCGTGCTCTGCCACTTCAGAGGGTTTCCGGACGCCCTCCCCGCCCGCCTGCCCTCCCCGCCCGCCTGCCGGCCCCAGCGAAGAGCTGGGTGAGCGGGCCTGCGGTGGCCAGACGACTGACCCGGAGCGTCCCTGCCCGGGCTCAGGTGGTCCGAGCCAGCCTGGCGGCCTTCCGCCGCGGTCCGCCCGGCACTCCCGCGGGCCCGGTTAGGGCGGGCCCAGGTGGGTGGTGTGCCCGTGGGAGCCGGGCTGTGGGGGGTGGGCTTTCCTGACCAGAGACTTGCATTTTGTGCGCCCCAGCTCACCACTTAGTTTGAAGTCATCCCAGGGGATTTAAACTTGCTTTTATCCAAATGAAGGGAAATGATTTTAGTTAATTTCTAAAGAGAAATGCCTAGCCCAGTTGCCATAAACTCAAGAATCGAAGAATTTTGTCAAAATGTTTTTGCCTTGGACATGTAATCAAGCAACGTTTTCCACCGTGAAATTGTTCCTCCGCTTCCTCCAACTGAGCCGATGGAGATCGCCTGCTCCGCCTGCTCCGACCTTGCTGGTCAGACCTGGGGGTGCCGTGAGGTCCCCGCCCATTAACGAGGCAGGCTGTGTGTCCTCCTGGGGGCCCAGAGAGTTGAGCTGACGTAGTGACTTTTGTCCCGCTGGTTTCCAGGGTCGGGGTGGTGAGGGGAGGACGCGAGTGCTGGGGTCTGGGAGGGTCGCACTTCAGACAGGACAGCCTGGGGACGGAGTGGGGGGCGGGGAGCGATGAGGCAGTGCCTGCGGCGAGGGGCAGGCCTGGGAAACCGCAGCGGTGGTGCAGAGCCAGCCCCGTGAGTGCTGTGCCCAGCCTGTCACACACCCAAGGATTTAAGACTCTTTCCTAAATTCTTTTTCTTGCCTTAGAAAGTTGACCAGTCAGAGCCACAGTGTGGCTGCCAGCCTGTAGCGAGGAGAGGAAGCGCAGCCCGAGCCAGCAGGGCAGGCGGCCCTGGGGCCTGGGCACTCTGGTGGGGGCTGCTGCCCCGGGGGAGGAGCCGGCGCTGCAGCCACTGCCACCTCCTCCTGCCTTCCCGCCTGCTTTGGGCATTCCGGAAGCTGGAAGGCAAGGGAGCCCACTGGTGCATTACCCTCAACAGTAGGGGGACAGCATGGCTAGGGACATCCAGTAGAGTGTCGCATGCCCGTGTCTTTGTCCCACCACGGATCCCTTATCATTGCGGCATGTCCAGACATGCAGGCGGGCTGCGGGCGGACATGTGGTCACCCCCTCATCCACTGCACCGCAGTGCCCTTGCCTCGCGTCAGCTTGCCCAGCGCACGGCGGGTCCTCGCTTGCCTGCTGAGTCCTGCTGCGCCTCTGGTGCGAATGGCAGCAGCCCAGTTGTTACTCTTTGCTTGAAGAAAGAAACACGCAGGTCATGGGTGGTGCAGGCCCCAAGTCCCTGGCAGTGCTGTCGTGGGCAGCGCGTCTGCAGATGTGACTGGGATCTCCGGGCCCTTCCGCTGTGCTGCCCGCGTGCCCTGGGGCCTCTCCGAATGCCTCGGGTTGTCACCGCCCGTCAGCCTCACCGTGGTCTTTTGTCGCTGGCTATTTTCTGGGTGAAAAAATGGTCATTGTCATCTTGATCTTTCTCTGAGTGGGCTGTCCCCACTTTTAATCATCTTTATTGCCTTTGCGCTTTCCTGGTTCTGCAGCGTGCCTCTTACAGAGCGGACCAAAGCTGAGTGCTGAGTGCTGAGTGCGAGGTGAGGCCGCACCACCTGCTGTCCGCTCTCCCAGCCTCTCCCCTCCCTGGTGCCCCAACCCCCTGTTCCCTGCTGTCACGCCACACACAGCCAGACGCTGTCGTATGACTGTGCTGTCACTCGGTGTCCCCATTACTCAACATGTGCACGAGGTCCCTGGGCCTCTGGAGTACGCTGTGCCTGTGAAATCTCCTGGGACTCGGCCCGCCCCAGGGATGCCCTGCACCGCCCTCAGCGGGCGCTCGCCCCCCCGCTGTGTGTACACACAGACACGGATGCTGTCCTCCTGCAGAGTGGCACAGGGGCCGCTTTTCCACCCCAGGAGCGTCCCCTGTCGGGTACCCGCAGTGGGACTGCAGTGTGGTCAGGTGTCCCTCGTGGGGGTGTTAGGGACGCAGGAGGGTGCGCTCCGGAGCGAGACCGGCTGCATCTGGATCCCACCGCACCCCTTCCCGCTGGGCCCCCACTCTTTCACTGCCCCCTGGAGCTCCGCGTGTCCAGCCACGAGAGGGGGTGGCCAGTAGCTGCCGTGGGCCGTGAGGACTCCCGAGGTGACACGTGTGCCGGGAGCGCGGCACGGGTCCGGCCCGTCGCCAGCCTTTCCTCCGTCCTGGCATGGCCTTCCTTGCCACTGTCTTCTCGAACGTTCTTTCAGACAGCAGAGTGGTCCGTGCACCCTTAGGTGTTAGCATCCTCATGAGGCTGTGGAGGTTTTGCGACTCTTCAAGCACGAGATTGCACCCCCGACTTTCTCATCTAAAGTTGTTCCTGCAGGGTGGGAGGATTGTTGTGGTTCCTGTACTTTGCAGTTGGCTAACTTGAAAAGTTTATTCTTAGAGTTTCTTTTAAGATTTTCTGGAAACATTCAAGTCAAAAGACTCAAAATTGTTTACTTATTTTATACACTTGCTTCTACTCCCAAAATCAGACTTGTTTCCCTGTGTCTGGGATGGCCTGCTGGTGGCCTGTTTTTCATACTCACATCAGTGGCCAGAGGCCAGGGTTGAGCTGTGGCTCTGCCACGTGGGGCTAGGGTGCTCAGAACAGTGCCGTTGCTGGCTGTGGGCGGAGCTGTGGGGACAGAGGCCGGGACGCAGCCAGCTGGCGGGGTTAGGCTGCTGTTTGTTATTCCTCTTACGGCCCAGAGCCGAGGCAGTGCAACTGTTGGGCATTGCCGATTGTGACGACCTCTCTGTAGAGGAAATGCCATGTGTTTGCTTCTGTGGTCTGCAAGGCCGGGCTGTAGGTTTTAAATACATGGAAGTCAACTTCCCTTTGATTTCTCAGTTGATTCAAAGTACCTTCTTTGGGAGAAGTGGGCAGTGGGGTGGCCCTCTGCCGTGGGAACACGCCCCACCTCTGCAGTTGGGCCTGGAGCCCGCCCAGGGTGCTGAAGTAGAGCCCCGGGCCAGCTCCCCCACTGGACGCGTGGAAAAGTGGAAACGGTACTTATTCCGTACAGCTGTTCGGGACCCAGGAGTGACATCCATAAAGTCACACCAGCTCTCTGTGGGTTCACATGACTTCTTTACGGAGTATTTCTTTTTTCCTACATTTAAAAAGTTTTCTCACTCACCAAACATTGATTGTATTCTCTGTACAAGTTTGGAAGACACAGAGAAATACGCAGAAGAAACATCATGCCGATTCCCGCAGCAGGAGGTTCGCTTCTGGCCCCGCCTCTCTGTCGATGGAGGAGCTGCCGTCCGTTCAGTCGGCCCGCTCTGAGCAGGGCCGTGTGGGGCTCTCTGCGGAGCGCGTGGCTTCGCGTGCGTCCTCGTGGTGCCCCGTGGTCATCCGAGTAGAAACGCCAGTCCGAGGGTGCACTTGCTTAAAGCGTTTAGTATAAACTGTCAGGCTGCCTTCCGGAAAGATCTCCCCACTTTCGGTTACACTAGCAGTGCCTGTTGGTTCCTCTGCACCCAGCTGGTAAGGGAGAACAACATAAGGAAGGTGTTTCCTAGAGGGCCGTTGTGTGTGTGTTACAGTGACCGTCCAGAGGACTTGTTCTTGGTGTGCCCGCCTTGGCGCTGACCGCCTTCCGTCAGCTTGGGTTGTGGTTGTGTTCGCAGACAGTGCACGCCAGCAGGGGTCTGGACCCCTCGGCGTCCCGGAAGAGCCGCCCAGTCTAGAGGTGGCCAGAGCTGTGCGCGAGAGGCCGTCGCAGCCCGTTGGCCAGACTGTGAGCAGGGGCTGAGTGTGGTAGAAGCTTCCAGGTTAAACTGGAGAAAACCGATAAGGTGGGCCGTTCAGCTGGCCGGCTGGGATCGGCGTCCCGAGGGTGGGGTCCAGCAGAGGAAGAAGCAGAGGTGTGGCTGCAGGCTGGGTCTCTCGGGGTCTCTGAGAACTTGCTGTGCACTAGGCACCCGGCTGGGCTCCTTGGTGGATACATGGAGGTGTTGCGACCTGGAGCCTTGGGGAGCTGAGCTGGAAGCGTGGTGGGGGGACAGGAGGAGGAGTCAGTGCGAAGGGCGAGTGTTGCTTGGGGGGAGCCAGTAAGAGTCGGTGGCTCCAGGAAAGGAGAAAAAGGCTGCCGAGAACCCTCCGAGAAACCGGTGATTGTCTGCCCGGCTCTGTGGTATG